CATCTACCGAAGAACATTTACAACTTTACCATCCGCTACATCAACAACTCTCTTCCTACACGTAAGAATTTGGTAAGATGGGGATTATCACAAAGTCCTGATTGTTCCTTTTGCCTTAATCCTGAGTCACTCCTTCATGTTGTCGCTGGTTGTCAACAATGCCTTGATCGCTTTACCTGGAGACACGACTCAATCCTTAACTTCATTGCCAAGTCCCTTCAACCTGTAATTAATGTTAGCTCCTCAATCTATGCAGATGTTACTGGTTTTCTAAATCCCTCAATAATAACTGGTGAAAATTATCGCCCAGATCTTCTTTTCCTAACCCAGTCCAAGTGCCTATATGTTCTAGAATTAACAGTTGGTTTCGAATCTAACTTGTACAACAATGCAGTACGTAAAAAAGAAAAATATCGGAACTTGATTAACGAAATGAGTAGAACTTTCAGATGTGTGAAATTTGTAAATCTCTCCATGAGCTCCCTTGGCGTTTTCTCAGATGAATGCTCTACGTTCTTAGGCATGATGAATGACATAGGCATTGCCAAAAAGCAGCAACTTTACATAATCAAGAAAATGATAAATATAGCTATTAGAGCAACATATTACGTCTTTTGTTGTAGAAATAGGAATTGGGACAACCCAGATTTGATGCAATTTTGATTTTTGTGTGTGTGTTGAATAAGCCAATCTCAAGCAGCATTTGTAAATTGCCTATACGTAATGAGATTTACAATTGTACATTTAAAAACACAAATCAAGTTTCCATTATTATCATAAATTGTGGATAACGAACATGATGTAGCGAACTCACAACGTAGCGAACTCGATAGGTAGCGAAAATGAGTGGGTACGCTTAAAAGGAGTCTGTAAGAAGAAAGTCCTTACAAGTAAACACTGTTGCTGAAATAATTTTATTTCCATACATTTTAGTCACTCGTTACTCCACTGGGATTCATTTTCTGGACATTGTTCGACGAATCACCATTCAAATGGCACCCCGAAGGTCACGTGAGCACCTGGTTCAGTATCGGCGCGTTAGCGATCATGGTCCCCGCCATTTTTGTTTACAACATGGGGTAAGGAAAAATACCTACCGTATCGGCCAATGAAATGTTACGTCTTCTAACGAATATTTTAGTGTTTTCAATGCGGTGTTTATCAGAGGACGGCGTCAAGAAAAAGTAATCAAATTCACTACCATAATGGCAGTCCTTGCCTTGGATGTAGTTCAGCTATTTAAGCGTTCGTTACCAAATTCGATTTCACTTTCCCTGCCCCCTTGTGCCTGCAGTTTTCCCCCTGCTCCCCCCCCCCCATCTACCTCCCTCAACATGCTACGACATAAGTATCCGCGCAAAAATAAACCCTGATCCTTTACTGATGATTTAGCACATGAGGGAGTCCTTTCACGAGTTTCTCACATCATTTTTTTTCCGTTTTTCTTTTTTTTTTTTTTTCATTCAGAGCACCAGAGATTTCGATGAACGCGAATGAAAGTGAGGAGTTTTATCACTCCGCTTCCGCTGACCGGTATGACTCAACATCAGGATCAAGGAAATATCTTTTCCCAGAAGGCAGACATACACTGAACAATGCCCTTTTAAAAGACTAAAAAACCGATCAAGTCATTATACCCGTGTTTTGTCATTATTCATGTAGCGGAAGGGACAAAAACCGAGCGGGTTCCGGCAAGAATGTTAGTAGACAGCAGTCATTAGCGGCAAATCTAGGCCACACTGCTTGTAAAGTGCTTGCATTGGATCCGAAAAAGGGGACACTAGCATGTTCAGAAAGAATTCCAAAATAGAATTTGCTAATTAGAGAGAAGCTTTCTCTACAGATCGTTTGTTCTGAAATATCGAAGCAGTGAGCTTAATTTGACACACAGAGATAATAAAATTGAAAAAAAAAAATTAAAAATAACGGTGATTATAAAGCGACTACTTTTGTACAAGAAAAAAGAAAACAATTTGTGATCAATTAAATTGAAAAGTATATATGGACAAGTTTACTCCATATAATCATATAAGTATAAATGCTTGTGTTGTTCTTAAAACATTAAAGAAAAGAAAAACAAAACAATTTGCCTTCCGAGGTCAGCGTGATCAGTATAATAAATTTAACAAATTGAGAGTGGTTTAATGTGGTCTACAGCCTTATCGACATGTTGTGGAGGCGCAACCGAATGAGTCCGCAACAAATTTCAGTAAGTGACCATTGCGTGATACGTTGACGCAAGTAGTATTGTCTGTGCTCGGCAAATTCGCGTATCAGAATGCGACATTACTTCCCACTGGAGTAAAAGATTGTACCAATGTCATATCGTCGCTTTTTTGGCTCGTCAAATACAGGCTAAATTTCTTCACATACTCTCGAGGGCGCGTAGATCGTAAACGAAATTGATCTCGTCCGGAGTTATGAATGGAATAATTACCAGATAAGTTAATCGAAACCTGCTGAACTCCCATGTCAGATCGATTGCGTTACACGTGATTTGCCTATACCAGGATCTTTCTTTTAATCTTTGCTCTCTTCCGCGAATAAACGGAACAATGACGTCAGTTAACGTTCTGCTTCTGGAAACAAAGACGGCGCTCACAGATGAGACAGAATAGCTTTTGTACGCTTAAAGAAAACCCAAGATTTTATGTCGTTAAAAAAAAGGCTTTTATTCTATAGATATCTAGCTTCCCCAGGTTACTTTCTTAAATTTTATTTTTTACGGCCTCCTGCATTCTGGTTACCGAGGATAGGATATTCCTTAAGTTTTGATCTACCTTTATGGTTACTTTTTAAAGTATGGGGCAGTTTTTGAGTGGAGGGGAGGGAAAATTATATTTTAGGAGAAAAAGGAAGTCAGAGTTCTTTACTTGGAAAAACTCAGAGTTTACACTTCAAAGTTGACCTCATATGGTGCATCTATAACTAGTATGCCGTTCGCATGCTTCAGTTACTCCAATCATATGAGCATCAGACCAGAAAATGTCGATGACATCTCAAGAAGTTATTTCTTCCTCTTCCGGACTTATTTGGAAGATCTAAGCGTGATGATTATTATGGTCGAACGCTCCCAAATAATGACAAAGTTTAATACTCGTGATTAGCCACAAATGAGGAACGTCGTACTGGGATCGAAATTCACGGAGAGAGAAAACTTCCGCTTTTAAGCGGAAGGAAGTGGATCTGCATAAGATATAGCCTTGGACGTTATTCGATCTCGATCTAAATCGTTGGATCAAGAGTCTGGCATGTACGGTTCCACGGAAAGTACAGATCCGTTTGATTCTGGAGTCACGGGATCAACGAGAAGCAGCAATGAGCCACTATTTAGTCCTTCACCTCCACCTCCTTACGAAGAGCGAAGAACTTTCGACATTGGATCTCGGGAATTCAAACTCAATAGGATAAATCTCCTATTTGCATTTGTTGTGGTAGTCGGGGATGTTGGCCAAGACATATCATTGCATCTTTGGCTCAGCTCTGCCAATGAAACGACAAAGAAGTGCCAAGAGATAGCTATCGACAGTTACTTTGTATTATCGTTTGGTAGTCTGTCGTCTTTCGTGATCTTTGGATTGGGAGCTTTGTTTATTCGAATCGTTTTTCCCCGACATCTTGGCGAGACGGAAAGGAGCTTTCCACAATTTTCCTTATTTTTAATTGGGCTCTGTAGTGCTTTGAACGAAGTGCTTGCAGTGTTTGCTAGTGGAACAACAAGAACACCGTTATATCTCCAAATTATTCTGGGGATTTTGATGATCCCTTTAACAGTTCTATTCAGGTGAGTCAAATGCTTCCATGCCACTGCTGCTACAAGGGTTCATTATCAGTCAATCATTGCTTTAAATCAAAGCAAGCACAAGTTGACAAAGAATCTTAATCATCAACTCTTGATTAACAAACTCTAGTAGAATTAGTTAATCGTTTCTCGTAATAATCGAATTGGTCTATCATGACTCCGCGAGTCCCATTGTGAACGTGGCGAAGACCGCGTTATGCAAAGTTGCGTCACGTGATGTGTCACGTGATATTTCACGTGATGCCCAAGAATAGATACAGAACCTACGCGACAAAAGACTCCGCATAGTTTTAGTACGTTTACAATCATTATTTTTTATTATCGTTGTCGTCTTATCGGCTTGACGTGCTCGTCATACTTAATAAATTACCATATTTTGCTTAACTGTGTCTAATGATGGTTCACTTTTATTTTGTTTTTCTTACTCCTCAAAACCAGCAATGCATTCCATAGCTCACATAAATGATATGATTGAAGTTAGCTGCCATGTGCAGGAGCGACAATGGATCCCATTTAAAATGAAATATGTTGTCCCTATTATCTTTTAGGCGCCTGATTTTGAGAAAGAAGCCAACTCGTAGAAAACTGCTATGTGCTGTAGCTGTTACAATTGTGCCTTGCATTTGCGGGCTCACTCCACTGATGATATGTCCGCAGCTAAAAGTGGATTTTGATCAAACTTCTAAAGAAGAGAATTCGTCAAAAGTGTTATGGCCTTTAGTTTTTATAATAACCTTTGTAAGTACTTTTTATCCTTATTTCATCCTATAATAATATCGGTGCTGTCAGTGAATGCAAGCGTACGCCGTTTTCTTAATAAGTTATGTTTCTGTCTTGTGACCTGCACCAGTCACATCCGAGATCCGTTTAATATTTTCTCGTTCTAGCCGCCAGACATTTCTTTGTAAAGTAGTAAGGGAAGTGCCGAGAAAAGCTACACTTACTTGTGAGGCTAGAGCATTTTGAGATCACCACTGCTCTCTTTGGTTTGAAGCATTTTTCTTCACCCGGGAATTATCAGATATTTTTGTTTGATTATCCGCAAGTTTGCACTTGAATAGGGGGAAAATTTGAAAGAAAAAGTTCTCTAGAGTATTTTCAAATGACCTGAAATGGGTAAATATAGGAAAGAAAGAAATAGGAACATAAGAAAGAAGGACGTAGGGAAGAAGGACACGGGAAGACTAATAAAAAGAGGACAGAGAACATAAAATAACATACGGACATAGAGACTGAAGGGGCAGAGTAACAGTGGGACGGTGGTACAGTGGACTAGAGGAATAGAGGAACAGAGGAACAGTGGAACAGAGGAACAGTGTGAACAAAGGGACAGAGGAGCAATAGAAAATGGGAAAAGCCTAATATGACGGATTTTGTTAGAATCAGTAGTTGATAAATTGTTGTTTCAAAAATCTGCTCTTTTTTTCTTGTTTACCAATTGCAGTCGACATATACCAATCGCTCCTAATTAAGCTTAAAAGCTACCGAGGGGTTACTTTCTATCCTGTGCCTTTGCTGATAAGTATACCAACAAACGTTTACCAATTTACCGACTCAGCTTTTTAATTTCACACAATCAGGTTCCAGCGACCATTATGAACGTCCTGGACGAAAAAGCAGTGAAAAAACAAAATGAGATGTCACGGAGAGGAATTAACTTGTTTTATTTTTTTTGCTGGACGTCCTTTTATCAGCTGATCTGTGTTGTGTTGATGTTTTGGCTGGATATTCTCCCGGGGTTTGGAAATGCGCGTTCAATTCAAAAGATCGGAGAAAAGTACGTCTACTTGTCGACTTTAAAAATGTTTTTCTGATATTCCTGCGATGTTTTTCTGCGTCTTTTGTTTACAACATAATCTCTTGGGAATATTAGAGTAATCTTCCACTGTGTGTGGAGAGATGTAACTTGGACTGCATTGATCTGGCTTAACTGTGGGTGATCAGGGAAACTTGCACCGCTCTTTCCAACAGTAAGATAGATTCAGCGCCGAGAGCTGCTTTCACAGATATTCAATTCATCTCCCTATTTTTTTTAGTTGGCAGGTTGGAGTTAAACATTTTTTTGGCCGGGAAGCAAGCTGCGATGCCACATCAGGCATCGAAGGAACTTTCTTTATTCTCATGAACGTTTCGTCCTTTGTTGGAGGAGTTAATCTACTGAGACACGCCGAGGGAGCCACTTGGCTGGCTATCATAGTGGTAAGTAATGTGCAACAGTCGATAGCTTCAAACTCTTGGTTATTTTCTAAAATTAAAATCACGATTCATAATCCAAGCTCTTGACAAGAACGTGTGGTGCTCTTGTCCAACGGTAGAAACACAGTTATTTATCACCCTTTGTATAGGTGATGCTACGTGCCGGTTTGTTAAATTAAAGTTTTAAGATTCTCTGGTTCTTAATCACCGTAATTTCTGCCGAGAAGTAACTTTTCGAATTTTTTTTAAGCGGCCGCACGTATACGGGTAACTAATTATGACGCTTTCATTTTTCTTTTGGTTTGCATGCTGAGTTTGGTACACTCCACTTATTAATAAAGACGCTAATATGTTTTTATTCTTTTTTTGTTCTTTTTTTCCTCCAGTCGCTTTCTATACCACTACGATTTATTTTTTGGTCTCTGTTCAGTGAGAAATCACGCAGGTGGCAATGGGATCCACATCACTTCTTAAGCGCAGGGCTTGGTTTAGCTGCTCTGTTGTTTATGATTCCCGCCACTGTAATCTACTTTAAGGGGTGAGAATTAGTTGTTGAGTAGCCTGTGTTGCTGGCTTTTCATGTTCAGTCGTGCGCGTAGATGCGTTGAGAGGACCCGCGAGAGGCTTGGGACGGAAAAAGATCGTTTTCGCGGCACCGCCGCCTGCATCGGGCTCCCAAAGAAACGCCAGCTATGTAGGCTTACTGAAAACTTTTGAGCACATAATTTGTCATCCATCAAATATATTTGCTCGCGCCTGATTTGTCTAAATAAATTACGTAATTGAATATTTCGCAGTTAAAAGTCGACTCTCCGAGGATATATCTCAAGTGATATTCGCAGTTTTCAAACCCTCAATCTACTAGGATAATTAAACGTTCATTCAAAATTGAATTAATTTTAGATGAGAGAACGTTTACTTACTGTTATAGGAGATGGGACATGTTTGTTTGTTCATACAGTTGTTTATTTAAAGACTAGTAATAGAAACAATAGCCTCCATTTGGCGCGAAAATATATAAGTTCGTGTAAGCTTGGATATTGTTTGTTCCGCTCGCAGTTTTCCTCGAGCTTCGTCTGCTTCCAAAAAACCGTTCACATCTCGGAACAGATAGTGTCCGCGGATAGATATCCCTACTAATATTTTCGCGCCAAATGGAGACTTCTTTGACGAGAGTGAACAAGCGTGACATGCGGATGTCTTTGCTTGAATATATTTTTTGAAGGGAAGATTAAGTGTTTACTTGAAATGATAACTTTGCAAGCTACGTATACAGCAAAGGTGACGCTAGTAAGACTTTAGGTCTCATGGAAAATCTAGTAGACGCCCCTACCGGAAGCACGAGATAAGCAATACATTCGCGTTCGTTGAATTCCCTGTGGCTAACTTCGCATATGCTCTAGCATTACGATGATTATCAAAAAATAGAACTGGCATAGAGGATCTGATAAACTTCCATTCTACCGAACCACGATTTCCTTTTTTTTTTTTTTTTTTTTTTTTTTTTTTTTTCTTTTTAAGGAAACGAGAAACATCAGTTGAAGATGCCGAAAGGACTGAAAGATAGAAGGAACATATTATTTTAAAGGGGAGAGATTGCTCATTGATACAAGCAGAGGGACTTTAAAAATAATAAAAACATTCTATGTAATGTCTACTCAAATTTGGTACAAAAAAATCCATGATATGTTTCTGATTCATAACATTTTAGTACCTGCATCATTCAAACCCTTAAAATGTCAGTCAAAAAAGATAAAATGATCCTGAGATATCCTTTCTTAAATACTAAAAGCATGCGTTAGGAGAATAAATGAATTTGAAGTTCAAGTTGAGGTTGAAAATTTCTGGCTCAGCGGTTGATGTTGTAAGATGATCTTCGCGGACTGATACTGATACTCCAATTTCCCTGTTCTTTGTTACCTTTTTCCTGTTTCCTCTTTCCTCTGCCTGTTCCCTGTTCTTTGTTCCTTGCTCCCTGTTCCTTGTTCTCTATTTCTTGTTCCCTCTTCCTTGTTCTCTATTTCTTGTTCCCTCTTCCTTGTTCCCTCTTCCTTGTTCCCTCTTCCTTGTTCCCTCTTCCTTGTTCCCTGTTCCCTGTTCCCTGTTCCCTGTTCCTTGTTCTTTCTTTCCTATTCCTCATTACTCGTTCTACGTTCTTCGTTCCCCGTTCTTCGTTCCCAGTTTATATTTGCAAAATCTAATCGATTTCCTCTCGGCCATCTTTAAAATAGAGAACGGACTCGAGAGAGCGGCAGAAATCGAGCCTGGATTTCCACTGTCATGTAGTTCTACTTTTGTTAACAGTCGTAAATTTTACAGGATTTACTTGCGTAGAAAAAAAAAAAGAGTAACTTCTCCACAGACCGCTTATACATTTGGTGGATTTCACTCCACGTTTAAAAGATTGCCGCTTTTCAATATCCCTTCTTTTAAAGATTCCCACATTCAAAGACACCCGCTTTTTAAAGATTCCCCTTTTTAAGATTCTCGCTTTTAAAGATTCCCCGTTCCCCGTTCGGCCATTTCCCGTTCCTTATTTTGAAGATACCCTCTCGAGATTTTGGGTTCGGTATTTGCTCATAAATGAGTTTTGTTTTCATTAACATCATAGATCACGTGGATATTATTGGAACTTCACCTTGGCCTTGAGTTTTTCTTTGCAAGAATCGATTCCATGCATTCTTTCGAAAGATTTTGTTTTCCTTTTTTCAGTTTATCAATGACTGAATAGTAAATAATACATATTATTGTTTTCGAAGAACTGGTAAATCTATCGCTTACCGAAAAAGCTAGAATAAACAAAATTCAACCACCAGTAGCCACGAGTCATACGATCTAATTTCCCCTCTTGCCCAGTGGGAGTCCAGGGGCACTGTTGTCATTAGCATGGACTGGATCGATCGTTGTAGAACTATCCTTGTTATGTTGCGATGAGAACACATTCTAAGCTCTTCATAATCAAATTTAGCAGCTACAGAACCGATTTTAGGTTGGACCTGTGTGTTATAACGCTGCTTAATTCAATTCTAAGAATGTCGCTGGACACAAAAGGTTTCCTCAACTCGACAAACACTTCTCACCGAGACTTCAAGTATGACCCTCTGTTTAACACTGTAGACACCACCACAGAACCAAACACTTATCTCTTCAGTAAAGATCTACAGAACCAGCATAGACTAGAAGCATGGCTCTCATTGAGCAGTATAGCCACTCTATTGTATGCATTTGGAGTCGTTACCGGTCAAGTAACTCAGTATGTCACTCTGCCGATGTGGATCGACAGTACGAAGAATGTGACTTCATCCCAGAACCAAAGCATTAAATGGACACCAACAATGGACAGCTATTTCGTTTTATCTTTTGCCTCTACTGTTTTTGTTACAGTGTTCGGTTCTGTCTTAGTTCTTAATACCTTCGTTTTCAAGCAATATTCAATCTGTAACACAGACTGGAGTCATCGTCGTTTATTTCTGACAGTTGGTTTCTTTCAAGGACTTGCTGCAGTTTTTATCGTGTTTTCCAGCAGTGGAAAGAGAACCCCTCCTTATCTACAAGCCATCCTTGGAAACTTTTCAATTCCTATAACGCTCTTATTAAGGTAGATATTTCACAATCTATTTTGACTATACTTTCAGTGGTGTCACTGCATGGTAAGAGATCAGCGTTGAGTGAAGTCAACATTGGTTGGAGCAAATGTAAGCCTGTATCATAAGAAAATATAGTCAGTTGCTCCATTCTTATATTGTCCCAACATAAAGCTGGGTCTATGAGTGTGACTAAAACAACCTTGACCACGTTAATGGGGTTCATTCGAAAAGTGATACTGAATTCTGTTCTAGCAATTAACGAGGTGACAAAGCTAATAATTAAGGGGGAGATGACAAAACGCGGAGCCCTACTCCATGGAGTACCCTATGGAGTACCTGAATGGAGTACCCCTAAAAATCATGTATTAGTCAAATAAAATACTTTATGAACATGGTGAATCGTTTAGATGTACATATCCTTATATATTTTGAGCTTGTCAGCTCTCCGATTGTCGCAGTTCGATGTAGTTTACGAATTGACCGCCATCTTGAGATTATCATTAAACTGCTGACCACTTCCAACCGAAAGCTTTAATGAAGCTAGCATCCATGAACGTTATCGTTAATAGGCCGACTTCCATCTATTTTCATATGATCTTCAAGAGGCCAAAAGGACCCTAATTAAGGGTATAAATATGATGCATAACTAAACCAAAAAAGAAATAGTGCCCTGAGAATTTTACAGAAAGGCAAGGTTAGGTGACTGCAGTACTCTAAGTATTTCTTCTTCTCACAACAGATTCCTCTTCTTAAAGAAGGTTCCTACCAGGAGAAAATTCCTATCTGCGGTTGCAGTCGTAGTTGGCCTTTTTATTTCTCTCATTCCAACTTTTTCCTCACGTATTGATCCAAGAGCTGCAAGACATCTAGGAGGAGCTACTGGGTCAGGAAGAGTCTTATGGCCTTTGGCATTCATGTTTGGATTTGTAAGTGAAAATCTTTATTTGATATGAGGGGACTGACATAATATATAACACTACATAAAAATGACTGTAGATGCAGACTTGTACACTTCACTTGATGTTATTCACATTCACAATGTATAGATGTTAAGAATGCTTTTTTGCTTTCAATAGATTTTAAAGGTATATAAAAATCATCTCTGCCAGACACCTCCCCAAACTTTGGGTGGCTCAATATACAGTCAATTGTATGGCCAACAACATGACTCTTACAGGCTAATATTTATTTGAAAAGCTTCCCAATGGTGTTTGTTAGAGGGGGGCTTATTGGATAGAAAGAGAGTTCAACTCACACTTTTCTCCTTCTCCCCTGAATTGTTTCCCTGAGGTATAACAGATACAATATACAGCTATTTCAAGAATTAAAGGCTGTCAGAAAAAAAGACAAAATTGCAGTCTCTAAAGGTGGTCTTTAAGTTGGTATTTGGTAATTAATGAATTTTATTAGCCTATGCAAGCCATGCCTCACCTTACAGTGACTTTTTTTCAGATTTCCCAAAATCTGGAGGTCAAGGAACCTCCCACAAAATTAACAACCTTTGAGGTTGTTGCATGCCTGCACTTTTACCCTTTTTTTTTTGACAATCCTTCTCAAAACAGATGTAATTAACTGAAAAATTGTCTCTTGTTTTGATTTTGTCTCTCTTTTGAAGGGGATCTCAGCCATTTCTTATGTTATGGAAGAAAAAGCTGTTAAGCTGCGAGCAAATGATGAAACTCACGCTGGCTTAGTGTCTTTTTTGTTTTGGACTTCACTGGCACAATTTCTTGTCCTGCTGCCTCTATTCTGGGTGGATTTCATTCCAGGATTTGGACAGACAAAGAACTTTCATGAATTCATTCAAAAGTGAGCACCTGAAATTATTAATAGTTGAAGATTATTGATCAACACACGCAAAAATTTGGAAAATTGCAAATTTAGATAAAAGAAAATTGACAATATTTTTGATTTGCCATAAATTTAGAATTTATTATTTTTTATTTTTCAATTAGTTCATGATTTTCTCTGTGTAGCAGAGAAAATCATGATAGCAGTCCCTCTCACAAACCCCTGAGAGGGACTGCTATCTTCAATTAAACATTAAGTAATGAGAATAAAGGAAATGATCGGGATTTGAAGGAGCCCTTTATTTATGAATTGTTTCACAAATTCATCATATTGATACCACAGGAAATGTGCTGGGAAAAGTAAAAAAAGGGTTAAAACACTGAACAAGGAGTGTAAGCATTCATTTGATTGATTGATTGTGCTTTGAGAAGTTGCATATGCATGATGGTCATTAGTCATGCAGAGGGATTAGATATGTACCTACTGAGTAGACAGTTAATTTGCTTTCGAAAAAGTGTTCTCATTTAAGCTCCTCTACCTCCCCAGTCACATGAACTCCCTTAGACCAATGTCAGAAAGATATGTCCACACCCAGGTATCTAATGTTTCTTTAAGTTTATATTTTATTCAGTTGGATATTTGGGCTCCAGTGCGTATTTGGTGGAGCAGGATGTTCATGGTCTCCTGGTGTCCTTGCACTTCTGTTCATCACTAGCTATATTATGGTAGTCTGTGGTTGTGCACTGCTTCTCCGATATTCCGAGGGAGCAACGTTACTTGCAATAGTTCTGGTGAGTCTCTTAAACCTTAAAAGCCTTTGAGTAACCAGCATGATTGTGAGAATTGATTAAATGATCACAAACTCAACAAGTGTTGATTGTCAAAACCAATTCCAATCCTTGTTAGTAGCAAAGGAAATGTTTAGAGAAAAATAGTGGTATGGAGAATATAGACACTGGTTTTAGGGTGTAAAGGGTACCTTGTACACTATCTACTGCATAAGATTATATACTTAAGGCATATAGGTTGATTTTTTTCCAAGGTGTGGTGTCAGAGATGCTCAGAGTTAAAAGTCTCTGGTTGTTGAAATTTGATTTAAATAGCATCGTGGTTAGCTGTATGAAAACACTTTATTTGTTATTCAGAAGCTCTTTGGGGTGGGGCACAAGTTTGCGAAATCTAGTCTTGTTCAGTCACAAATTAGTGGAGGCGTGGTGACCTCATGGTTAGTGTGCTTGACTCCAGATCGATTGGTACGGGTTCAAGCCCTGGCCGGGACATTGTGTTGTGTTCTTAGGCAAGACACTTTACTCTCACAGTGCCTCTCTTCACCCAGGTGTATAAATGGGTACCGGCAATTTAATGCTGGGGGTAACCCTGCAATGGACTGGCATCCCATCCAGGGGCCGGGGAGTAGAAATACTCCTATTCGCTTCATGCTACAGAAACTGGAGTTAAGCACCGGCCTAATGGACCACTAGGCTCATAAACAGACTTTACCTTTCAGTCACAAATTACACTCGAGGTTTAAGAGCTCACGTATGAGGTAGAGTTTTGCATATTTAGACTTTGAGAAGTAATTGAATGGCATGTAAAAACTCTGCAGTGCTTTCAATAAGATTTGAAATAGGTGGCTACCTCGGTACGACACCCGCCGGAGAGCGACTTGATTGCGACTTAGCGTGGCGACTGCGACTTGAGCGCGGTGAAATATACCCGGCGACTCGCAACAGAATAGCCGCCGGAGCTCCGGCGGGTGCCAGGTCTTATTGAAAGCACTGACTCTGTATGATGAGGGTGTCATTTTTCATATGACTTTCATATGCTTTTCATGTACCTTTGACAGGCATGGTTAAAATACACTTTTTGTGTGAATTAGTGAGAAAATCCATGATTTTTTAATTATAACAGCTGTCAAAAAAGACACAATTGTTCCTGTTAGTTGTAGTTTCACAGTTTTTCTTGGTGGGTTTGCTGGCTCGTGCCAAATATGGGCTATGCTTCAAACAACACACTCCAGTTAGTTAATTTGAAGTTTAAAATCATTTTATTTCTCTTTCTTTCAATTTTTAGTCTCTTTGTACACCCCTTGGATTCATTTTCTGGACCTTGTTTCAAGAGAAACCTTTCCATTGGCACCCTTACTTTCACACCAGTTCGTGGTTCAGTGTTGTTGCTTTAATTGTCATGATCCCAGCAGTGTTCATTTACAACACAGGGTATGTTCTGGTAATTATGAAAATTAAATCAATGACAAAATTTCTGGTACATTCATAGATGTACATTAAAAATGTTCTTACTTTTGGATACAAGTCCTACCCCATCCAACACATTTTGGAGTAACAGTTTGATCACAAACCGAGCATGATTTTGGCTATGATTTAAAGGTGGTGATTTATGAAATTGTTACCTCTTCAATAGAATGAAAAAACTGAGCCAAGAAAAGGGAAATAATTGATGAAAATGCCCTTTGTGACTGTTAATTTATTCCATATTCCTTTGCCTGTGATTGCAGTATGAAATATTTGCATGACTTGCCTTTTTAAATATGGATGATTCAGTACAGGTAATTCATTATTTCTATTTGTTGAAAACACAGAATGCCAGAGATGGAAAGAGAAGAAATACAATAACTGTTCCAGATGGAGATGATCAAAGCATGATGCAAATATCACTGAAAGCACTGATCACAATGAAAATTGATATACATTTTTTTGTAATCATTTTAATTAACCTTTTGATGTCCAGTGTGCCCGTAAGCACCCATGTGGAACCACACCCTTTCTACGCCTTGTGACGTCATCACTTTTAACCCTGGAGCACGACTTTGAGCATGTACTTAAACAGGTTGGAAATATCTTACAAACGATACCAGAATGAGTGCAATTGAGTGAAGGACACTGGAGAAATAGCCAAAAAACCATGTAACTTTGACCTGAAAATCTGCACGAAAATCTTGTTCCATTACCCACCTACCTTTCTGAGCATGTGGTTTGAAAATAATGAGTAGTTTCCTAAACAATCTCTACACCAAAATGAAGCCTACTAAATTTCCAGCAAGTGAGGAGAAAATTCAGGCGAGGAAAGGGGATAAAAAGGGCGGGAGAAAGAGATCTCGAAATTTTGCTTTCTGCACCTGCCCAAGATTTTCAGGCCGCCATTTTGCATTTGGATCGAAAGGCCGTCGAGTGTACATGTACAAGCTGTGAATGGGTTTGTGGTAAGTTTGAGCTTTTAAAACCACAATAGTGACCCGAAATCTGCTTGACTAGCTTCAAAACACAGTTTTTCTCAAAAGCTGTGGCTATTAATGGGTTAATAGTTCTTTTTCCTGATAAATTTCTTTCTATGAAAAGAATCTTAAATATTTATCTGTGGAAGGGTCTCTTTACCAATTGCTTGGAAAAAAAATTCCATGATATATAGACTGAGGAAGAAATTTGAAGAGTTCCATGATAAAGGGCAAAAATTAATTTTTATTAGACAATGGAAGCAAAATTCCTTTTTACAAGTTTGATTTTAGTGGAGGTATACAAATTAAAATCCATTTATGTAAGGAGTAATTTCCTAGTACACAGCTGTTGTTTGGTCTCAACAAGCACCGGGCTTCCCCACCAAGGGGAGAGAGTGCACTGTGTAACAAAACCAAAAAATTGGTTGCCCAGGAGACTATGTATTGAGTGGCAAAGTATTTTTTCTTTCCTTTTTTGTAATTCTTTTCTTTTATGGGAAAACATCTTAAATTGCACAGTGAAAGACAAATTTAAATATATTTTAAAATTATTTTTGTAAACATACCCACCAAGAGTAACAATGCCGAGATTTAAATCTACAATCATGGTAGTTACTTATGGTGGAATTCATTGCCACAAGGAATTGATTGCATTTACAAGCAACCTCATATTACTCAAAAAGGGTATTTGCTAATAAGAGGCATATTGGTGCATAAAATATATGACATACCAAAAGTTAGTTTTATTTAAAATTTTGAATGGCTTCTGTTTCACAAAAGGCATTAATATTTGACAATTATTCACCGAACGTGAGGTGAATATCATTGCATAATCCCCGAGATGAAGTCAAGGGGATGATTCGACAAAATTCACTGAACCTGAGGCGAATAATTGTTTTAATATAATTTCAGAGCTGAACAACAGAGAAAGTTCCAAAATCATAACATTTTAGTAACGTTTTATTAACATTTTATTTTAACATTTTATATAAACCACGTGGAGCGGTTTATATAGCGTCATATAAGGAACCGCTTGACCAATCAGATTGCTGGAAACTCTTTGCTCAGCTCTGAAATTATACTAAATTCATTTAAAACTAATATGTGAACATAGTTTACTAATATACCACTTTTTTATCTGTAAGGAATTTGAATGACCATAGAATAAAATAGGCTTTTCTGTCTCTTAATTGTTATGTGTGAGTGCTTTTTTTTTTAATTTTACTTTTTGTTATTATTATTATGATTTCTATTATCATTATTCAGTCCACTTTGAAGAATAAGATAACTTATATAATCTCTCTAGCTTGACACTAGCTATAACTGAAAATACTTTTCAATCCCTCTTGGTAACTTGCCCATGGAAGCCATGCAATCAAATGTAAATGAGGACCTGTTTACATGGAGGTGGGGGACCCCTGGTAGGTGAGCGAAGTAACCCTTGGGATAACCCAGTTGTCCATATAATATCTTATTTTGTCGTGATCACGTTTACATGATGGCTGGGATAACCTGCCTTGTGGCAACCATGCCACATTGGAAGCATGCTAACGACCTTACCCCAGCAGCCTGCGTTTGTGAGATTGTAAATGTAAATGTAAACGCAGGCTATTTTTTGAACACCATTAGGCGGCTTACCTCACCTTCTTGGGTTCCCGGCCTTCCTTCATATAAACATAGTGTTCCTTTTGGTATCCTCAGTGGCATTCCAGCGTTTTTGAGATATTAGCCTAAGCTACGAAATCAGAGATCTTTCTCGACTCAACGGTGGTTTGTTTCCTGATCGGCGCAGCAGAATAATTGAATAACCTTTTTTTCAACAAGTTACTGGCCTGTCACGCAGCAATATTTTAATTGTCATGCAACGATTATCTAATACGTGACGAGAGCCGAGGCTGTGACACCTGGCCGGCCTTCGATCAAGAGGGCTGGAACAGAAATGTTTCATGGCATGTGAAATAGTTAAACCAGCAAAAGGTGTACTTTTCTCTTTAGTAAGGAACTCTACAGTGAAACAAGTGAGAAAATTGAGTGGCAATTGTTTATTTCCTTGTGGCAAGAAAAAGATGGAAGGACTTGAGATAACAGAGATGAAAGTAGTGCCTTGCGTGGACTCTCGCTTCATCCAGCCGTCCAGAGTTGTCTTCAAACAGGTTAGGCGATTTCAATGTTGGAGATGCAAAGTAAAGTAAGCGTAGAATTGGCGTTGAATAGGCACAGTACTATGATCGTTTGGCTTTCCTCTAGTCATGTTTAATTTTATACTTGAGACCTGCGATCAGGGCTTATTTCAAGCACGATTTTAATAAAAACGGCGGAAGTTGTCTGGTGACTATTGTATGATGGAAGAAAATAATGTATGTAGAAACCTGACATTTTCTACCGAATCAAGAAAAGAGAAAAAGTTAATTAATTTCCAAAGTTCTAATTTAAATTCGCACAACAAAAATGATAGTACTTTGAACACAAGAATCACGAACAATGGTACTGTACATGTATTATGCAATATATAATCATGGATGGTAACCCAGTCCATTAAGACAATTATGCGTTAAGATGTTTAAAATCGCAATAAGAAAGTGCAAGCTGTGAATTTCAAAAGAAGGTTCAGTCTGTGCCTTTTTGGAGGACTTTGATCGATATTATCTTCTAACATCTTGTGAATTTTTTCCCAGAAGTTCTTAGGTAACTAACTCTCCCACTACACTGAGCTTTGGTTGCTTGTGAATGATTACTCACCCCACATCATCATTCCCAAACAGTGAACTCTCTACTACTCCCAGCACATTTTTTATTATTATCTGTGGTAATGGGAAACTTTCTCAATTCTTTTCTTCTTCTTCTTCTTCTTCTTCAAAAAAGAATGGTCTGCCCAGAGAATGGGATTATGTCAAGGAACACGATGAGTACGTCCATCCACATTCTTTTAATATTAACATACCTTTTAGACAGACAGCACTGTCAAAAAATTGTAAATACTAGCCTGAGAGTAGACAATACCACACTCATAATATTATTGGGGCTCAATTTAGTCTGGTGATATAACAGTATGTCCCAATGATCCTAACCAACCTTGACCACTGCACAGTTAGGATCATTGAATTTTCATGTCTCTTTTCAATGCATAGAATGGTCAGGAAAGAAAATGGGACTATTTAACAGTGCACGATAGGTATGTGAGTAGTTATCTGAGTGAAAGGGCCCTTCAAATGAGCAAATCCCAGCAAACTTGTCAGCTGACACTGTTGTGTTTAACTTGGTAATGTTTTCTTTAGTTAAGAGTCATTAAATTTAGAATACTAGTAGATAAGCACCCCTATTTTTTATAGACAAGATAACAAGGATTTGCTGAAGTAATTTAAAACTGCTTAACAATTTTCCTCTTTGATTAGCTCCCCCTCTTGAGCTTCAAGAATGAAATAAGTTCCCCCATTCCCTCCCCCCCCCCAGCTTTTTTCCCTGCCTGTGATAAGGCAAGGCAAGTGGCTTATATCCTTCCATAGATATCAGCCAGTCCCCTGAGAATATTTTAATTAGAGTCACTCCACGATGTATATGAATTTTGAGGAGAAATTACAAATTACTCACTTCTTAGGACAGATTGATAATTGAAGCCATCACACCTACTAGAAATTTAGAACTTAAGATTCTTCACAATTCAGGGCTCAACAGTAATGGTAGCCCACTATAGCCACAGACTAGTAGAAATTCAGTTTTGGCTTGTGGTTTTCAATTTCCACTGGCCACTTTGGCTAGTAAACAGACAGAAATTGTTGTAACATCTAAAAACATCTAAGATGTCACTAGCCACTTGGCTAGTACGTTGAAAAGTTAGTGTGGAGCCCTGAAATTCATTGAGGAATTATTATTATTATTATAATTGTTACCACATTTCCTATAGAAATCAACATGGTTCATTAAAATGATTCATACCAGTTAGATTGTAGGTAGTTCAGGATATTGAAATTGTTATATGGATTAACCACATTTTTGTTTTCCTTTAGTGTCTGTGCTCTCCTATTTAATACCACAAGACAGTCTTTCATTCTTGTGAAGCAGTTTAGACCAGGTGAGTGTTGAAAACCATTCCACTATCTCATTATAAAATAATTATTTTTATTACACGACTCGGGCAGTCAGAAGGCCAATAACTAAAATCAACCAATCAAAATGCTCTATTGCCGGTCCAATATTCTCTAAGTATTGGACTGGGCACTGTCCCGAATGGTCCCGAATGATACCGCACTTGTGTCCCTTTGAACTTCAGTCGTATAATAAATCTCTTATTAACCAAGCTTGCTCGGGACCATACTGGAAGAATATCAGCCCTCGGCCTTTTTTGTATGGACCTCGCTGCGCTCAGTCTGTACTGTCAAGACCTCAGGCCGATATTCTCCCAGTACGGCCCTCGCGTTAACTAAATATATCTTATTAACCCCCCTTGGTTAATAAGATATATTTACAATTGGCCATGTACTCTGTTTAATTTTACATTTGAGAATGTGATGACAAATCACACCAAATCTCCCACCGCATATACTGATATTTTTCTTTATTCCCAATACCTTCATGCTTGACACTGCATGTTTAGATATTGTGAAGAGAAATTAATCCTTGGTCACTTCTGGGGTTGAAAGGGATCCATTTTTGAGTAACCCTTACACTTGTTTATATTTCTTTTCCAGCTGTTTACATGCATGTCAACAGAAATCTCCACAAGAAGGCATTAAATGATGGCAGTGCTGTTACCATGACAGCAGATGATTCATCGCTGCCAATCACAGCTCCTTTCAATGAAGGAGTCACTTACGAACTCTGTGCTGGTATCATTGATAAAAACATGAGTCTTGCTGGTTTAATGAAGCAGGAGATCTTGGAAGAGTGCGGTTATGATGTTCCAGAAGAAAACTTGCAAGAAATTGCATCATTTCGTGGTGGAGTAGGAAGTACTGGTTCTCTACAGACATTTTTCTTTGCCAAAGTGACTGATGAAATGTGTGTGAGCCAAGGAGGAGGGAATCTTAGTGAAGGGGAAAAGATAGAGGTGTTTTATCTACCTCTAGAGAACAGCAAAGAGTTTGTGTTTGATGCAACCAAACATAAACCAGCTGGACTCATGTTTGCATTTATGTGGTACTTTAACAAGTTTAACATTTAACCATGTAACCTATATATGTAAATGTTTTCTTTCAAGTTAGAATTTACACTCAATTCCTGGGTAGATGCATGCACATGCAATAAACACCAAACCAATATAGGATCTTTTCTTTCTTTATTCCTTTCCTATTCTTGGAGGCATTCTTGTATCAAAGCAGTCAACTGAAATCATTACGTGAAGAAATTACTTAGTAGACATATCGAGTGATCATAGCTTTCAGAATAATATCAATTTCAACAACGAGCATGTGGCAATAAAAAGAACCAAGAAAAGTATAAAACTAGCAATAGGCTTCACTTTGAATCACAACTATGAGTTAACATAATCACAAAATAAATTGTTGCTTACCAACAATCAACCACCTCCCAGTTAGCTCAATGGATAGAGCACTGGACTGTTGTGTGGGAGGTCGAGGGTTTGAGCCCTGGCCAGACCAACACTCAAGGTCTTAAAATAATTGAGAAGAATATGCTACCTTTCTATAACATCAAGAAATGGTTAGATATTCTAGTCTTCTCGGATAGGGACAAATAAATGGAGGTCCCATCTCCTGCAGGGTTAGGGGTAGGGCTCCCATATTTTTATTTTACCATGGTAAAGACTCATTTTAGTTACCAAGCTTAAGATTCACTCACAGATATTGGTAGACCTTGAGCCTCCCGGTTAGCTCAATAGATAGACCGCTGGACTGTTGTGCGGGAGGTCGAGGGTTCAAGCCCCGGCCGGACCAACACTCAAGGTCTTAAAATAATTGAGAAGAATATGCTACCTTTCTATAACATCAAGAAATGGTTAGATATTCTAGTCTTCTCGGATAGGGACAAATAAATGGAGGTCCCATCTCCTGCAGGGTTAGGGGTAGGGGACGTTAATTTCCCACGCACGAGATTACTGTGTGATGGATGTCCTCCCCTGGGGTGGGATGGGTGGGTTGTTGGAGCTTAAACCTCGTAGGGAACCCATGTCCTATTGTTTCTGCACCTGTACTTGGTACAAATCCTCAAATAAATAATAAAAATAAATAAACATTTGTGGGTCTTGACTACTTTATTGAGGATTATGGTCTAACTTGTCTTCTGTTTAGAAACAATCTTGATTACACGAGGTCTTACCCTGAACTGAAACACTAACTATAATTTTCTGTCTTAAATGAACTAATCACGGAGGCATTAATCAAACCATAAAATATTTCGCAGCTTCTTTTGGAAGCGGTAACATTTAGGTTAAACGGAAGCGGTTACACTAGAAGAATGACGAGCTTCTAATTTCCCCTTACAGCACCACTCCTAAATCAAATGTAGAGATCAGGAGAATAAAGGAAATGATTGCCAATTCAGGAAGCTCCTGATTGCCAATCGAATTCTCCAGTTTGTAACATCACTTTTTTCATGAACAAGGGGAGAGCCTTATTACAACTGATTGTTCAAGTTCCTTCCATTTTTGATATATCAACTACCATGAACAGAGAAGTAGAAGCCATGCTTTGTATCGTGATACTTAATTACCTCTAAACTCTCTAACAAGATATCTTGCCTTCATGTTAATCATAGGGTTTAGGGTAAAAAGACTCTGGAGAAATTTTGAAATATGCACACAACATACAGTATAAAAATACTGTACATAATGCGAAATACTATAAAATATTTAACTTTTTTCAGTAGTTTCTACAGTTGTCCACACAAGGTAGATTAGCAGTTCTTTGAGTAGCAATACTCTTGAATAATTACAGAGCACAATGAACTGTTATCAGTAAATCAATGAACTTTCTCTTTAACATTCATCAACCATCATCATAATTTGTTATGCCAAGAATGACACTTTTAAAAATAAATGAAACATATGAGTCAATTAGTGGATGCCCACTTCACCAAAGGGTAGTCCTAACTTGAAGATGACAGGATGTGAACTAATGAAACTTTCAAAATATTTAATGTAAATGGGACAGGACAAAACTGTTGCACACAAGTCTCTGTACATGTATGTATGACTGGTCATGCTTTGCTTCATATAAGTGAATGTCCCCACGCCAGGAGCTAAAAGGTGCTGGTGTTTTCAGTAGGGCTCCCTGGCAGAATGCTAATGGAGTCTGCAGCAGTCCCACACAGTAGACAAGTCATCATGTATTCCTAAGACAAAAATAGTTTGTTTCTCAGTATTTGGAGCTTTGTAGAAATCCATGTTACTTTGATTAGGTCTCTTTTAAAAAAATTAATGTTCAATCAAAATTGAACTTCTGATCCCAGCAATTGCAGAAAACATTTCACAAGTGAATGCAGCATTTCACAAGTGAATGAATGTCAGGCCTACGTATACACTGTACTTTATTAATATAGAGAGTCTTTGTAGCTTAGCAGTACAGCATGGGAACACAGAATCCAAACAGCTGAGGTTTGAGGCATCTTTGTTCCATGCTCATGACATGATGAAAAAGCACATTATTACCTGGTAATTTCCCTCAACCCTAAATGTGTACTCATGTTCAGCCACAAGATGATCACAGCCTGGACACACATCTGTAGAGAAAAATGGTTACAATTATATTGAAAAAACCAAACAAGCTGATAAAATCTTTAAAATCAAACTAAAGTTCCTTACTGGACACTAAAACATTGGGTATTATTCTTCATACTGTTGATCTCTCTTAATTCACAACTTATGTTCACTCAATGGTCACCCTGATATTAAGTACTGTATCATGACAATACATACGTTTGTAGGTTACAAGTTCTTCTCCGTCAACATCCTCCTCTGTAAACATTACAAGGGTTTTAAGGGGCTCTTTTTTCCCACACTCTTTACAACCTGCAAAGTTCATTAAATATGATCCACTCTCCAAGCAGATTGTCCCCTAGTGAAAATCAAACAAGTTTCAATTTGCGTGACCTTTAACACAAATGAGTGAATCCTCAGCCCCCACCGGCTGATCATCCAAGCCAGTAGATTTACAATTATGATAATCATTTATGAGGTGGATAAAAAAGTTTTGCAGTTAATCAGTAGAATGTGTATTGACATACTCCCCCATTAAAAGAAGAAAATGGAAATTAAAGATTATTTAACTTTAACTATCATGAAAGACAAAGACAATTTCTCCCTACTGATGCAGAAAGCTACAGGATTATTAGTACCAAATACTCCAAATTAAAATCATAAACACCGTAAGGCGGAAAGTAATGAGAATTACTGATGAGATCTAGGAGTAGAGGGTTAGGGTTAAATTATTATGCTATTGTGGGTAACAACGGTGGGTATATATGGATAGTGCTTTAGAGCATCTGGCTTCAAAACACAAAAAACTTCATAAAACTCTTTTTTGTTGCAACTGATCCACATATTTCCTCGCGTTGCAGTGTCAATTAGTTTATTGAGGTTCGCCAACATACAACACAAAAAAATATGTATAAAAAGGTACCACAAAGGCAGGAGAAAAAAAAAACAGGGCACGCCCCAATAATTGACATTTGTTCCCCTAACAAATTACAACAATAAAATCAGAGCAAAACCAATCTTAAGTATATGTATTACTTCAGAAAATATTCAGAAAATCTCTCTTATTCTCACACCTCGATAAATAACATGAAATCGAAATGTGCTGCTGTCAGTAGATTTCACTTTAGACATAATTATTAGAATGCAGGCTCAACATGCGCAAGATGGGTCGACAACCGAACTATATACAAGCGTCCTTAAACATAACACACTATAAATAACATACCCGTTGAGGATGCTGCTGTTTTACACAATATTGACACATGATCAGCACAAGAACTACGTGAGGCAACGCATCAATCAACCCCTTTACTCTAAACGTCGCGTCGACCATAGCAGAGGGATTTTGTGGATGCGGTTTTCCACCGAAGAGATACAAGGGCGCTCTTACATGACAATCTAGTCGTTTTGTAATTTCCTCTGGAAACGAGGCAATGTGAATGATCGGTTTCGAGGAAACTCTCTCGGCTTCGAAAGAATTTCGTTTGGAAAGTGTCAATAGTCTTTCAAGACGATCGCACCAATGCGTGAATACGTCAGATGGCGATTACTAAATGGAAATTGTTCTTTACATATTCATCAAAGAATTTTGAGTAAACCGTGGTCGAAATTAAGTCGCTCGATAACACTAGCTATGAACGAGACATGAACAGCTCTCAAAATGGACTTCTTCGATGGATCTCTACAAACAAGTCGTACATCGGGTAAGCAAAGTTTTCTTCTAAGTAACTCAACATCTCTCCATCTTCGTTTTTAGAGAGCGGTTTGTAATTTGACCATACGAACTTAGGTTAATTTAATCACCTTTTAACATATATATGTAGACATGTTGATGAGTTTGTAACGTCCATAAATTGCTGTGGAAAATAATTTTTCACCATATCTGACACTTAGCTTTGAAAGTCAATTTGTCGTTAAATCTATTACTATACAATGTGGTTTGTGGGATTTCCTTTCGTATGCAAGCTACGACTACATGTTGCGTCAATATATCGTGTTTGTGCTAGTCAGTCATGGATATTTCTCTGCTCCGGAAATTAAAATTCGTTGCTAATTAGCTGGATTAGAAATTTAAATTCAATAAGCGAGTGGCTTTTTTATCGTGAATTTTGCCTGTAAAAGCAGAGACGCACATGAACGTAAAGGGTTTTAGACAGCCAGGAGCCCACAGTACCAGGTATAATAACACATGTAGCAATGGTATACTTTGTTGTCAGATGCCTGTGACAGCTTTTATGACTGTGACTTACAGAAGAATTGCTTTTGTAATTTTCACCTTTGAATCATCCCAGTACATCCTACTAAATGACCTCCTTGATCTAACCACCTTCTTATAACAACCCAAGACAATCATGCACAGTATGACAACCCCAAATGTTTGTTTAATCATCAAAAATTACTTGTGTTATATATATAGAGAGAAAAACAGGAATTATTTTCTCAGTCTCTCAAAAGTTTTATGGTGGTAGTAATACCTCAGTCGCTTGGCACTGTTAGTGGTTTGTTCTATGTAGAACTTTATAAAAATAATGTCCCTTTTTGTGAGTTGCTCCTCTACATGTAATTCAGCCAGTCAATTAATTGTGCAAACTGATATGACTGCATGTATGTTTGTTTACAGTACCATTCCTAATATCAAGGGAAGATTGATGAATTCTAAATTGGAACAGGCATTAATAAACTTATAAATTTAAACTCATTTTGGATCAATGGACACCTTTTTGGGGTTTCTTCTCATTCACCATTTGTACTAGGACAAATTAAATTTGCTAATTTCTTTTTTTATTTTGGTCAAGGGAAGGGAACCAGTGACATCCTTGAATCAGTGTTTTGCTTTTTTTACAAAATAACCCATAAAAAGAAGAAGGGCAATCCTCTGATGCAACCCTGAAATTATTTTCCTTTGAATTCTTGGCACCCCATTAATAAAACTCTCATCTGTACCCTTTCAGGTACAACCATCCAGTTGGTGTTTTAATGTTGTCTGTACTTGGATTGGTTGTCTGGATTCTTGGTTACAGGCTCATCAAGGTAAACATGTACAATGTACTGTATTTACTTTGAAGGCCACAGCTTCCTTGTGTGTCATATTTAGAGCAAAGCCATGGCCTGCAGGACAAAGGCATGAAGGCAGTGAAGTCTTAATTATGGCAAACAAAGTATCATGGTGCCAGTGAATTAAGGCTGATAGTTTCGAAAGAAACTGTTTGGGGCTGTGTCTGTGGGAATAGCAAAATAATTTGGATAAATCAACAAAGTTGAAGTGGTAAATTGGACACCGTAACAATTACAAAAGCTGATGTTTCAAGCATTAGCCCTTCGTTGGAGCGAATAGAGGAATTGTGGGTTGTGTCTGCTTTTAAAGGCAGAGGAGAATTGAGCTACATTATTGGTGGGAACATGGCAACGAGAAAAACAAGAATAAATTAGTGGAATGAAAAGCGTTCGTTGATTCTTGTGGGATTTAGACTGCTGGTTTGAAAGATGAGCTTTTGTTCAAGATTTTTACGGCTTTCCGTGCTACCTAAGTGTAAGGAAAGACCACAGATTGCCATATGTTGCTTAGAATGATTAGGTAAATTTAAATGTCTAGCGACTGGTTTCGATGTGTCCTTGTCATTCCTTTCCACGTCTCGAAGGTGTTCTCGGAATCGGTCACCTAGTCTTCTGCCTGTTTCGCTGATGTATATCTTTTTGCAATAAGTGCAAGTTATGCAATAGATTACATTGGCGGAGGTGCACGTGAAGTGATCGGTGATCTTAATGGATCGTTTAGGTCCCGATATTTTATCAGTGTTGTGAATGAGAATTCTTCTCACCCGGCTCTGAAATATACCTGGGAAATTTCTGACAATTTTTTATCCTTTTTAGACATCAAAGTTTCAACTGAAGGTAACGGTTTATGCACTAGTGTGTATTACAAACCTACAGACTCGCATAATTACTTGTTATATTCGTCTTCGCATCCATCTCACGTTAAGAATTCCATTCCTTTTTCTCAGTTTCTAAGACTTTGCCGTTTATGCAGTGATGACTCTGAGAATCTGCGGTCTTTCTTTACACTTAGGTAGTACGGAAAGCCGTAAAAATCTTGAACAACAGCTCATCTTTCAAACCAGCTGTCTAAATCCCACAGGGATCAATGAACGCTTTTCATTCCACTAATTTATTCTTGTTTTTCTCATGGCCATGTTCCCACCAATAACGTAGCTCCATTCTCTGCCTTTAAAAGCAAACACAACCCACAATTCCTCTATTCGCTCCGACGAAGGGCTAACGCTTGAAACGTCAGCTTTTGTAATTGTTACGGTGGCCAATTTACCACTTCAACTTTGTTGATATATCCAAATTATCATGATGCCAATCAAGATGAAGTTCAGTACAGAAGTTTAAATAGAGTCACCCCTTCCTATTCCTTAGCCCAAAGTCTTGATCTTTCGTAAGAGGTATAAAAATTATAGCAGAGTCAAATTTGATAATAATTTCTATTATTATATGGCTGTGTCTCACAAGGACTGGGAACTACTGAATTCACGAATTTGATTGGCTGAAATCAATATTGAAAGCAGTCTAGATTTTCCCATCTAGACCAACATCTAGACCGGTCTAGAAAAAACAAAAGGCACAGAATATAAAAAATTGGCATATAAGACACACCCATATAATAAACATCTTATTAACCAAGCTAGGTCGGTCTGTATGGGAGAATCTTGACCTCAGTCGCTGGTACTGACCTCATTATGTTTGGTCTGTACTGGTGACCTCAGTCAAGATTCTCCCATACAGACCTCCCGCTCAGTTAATAAGAACTAAGTATTACATATCTTCATCCCTAGCCCATCGTTATTGTGGCTGCATTTGTGTTTGCTGGTGTTGGATTTTACTCCTTAAGTCCGGATGTGTTTAGTTCAGAATTTTGCTGTGATGGAAACCACAACAGAGAAGGTAAGATATTACACCTACCAAAGTTTTAAGTTTGGTAGGTCACATTATGGCTGTCAGAATTTTGTCAAATTATTCCTCCACTAGCAAGACATCTTTAAGACCAATGAACATTTTTCAAAACATTGGTTCACATTTTAATTTAGCAAAGCCCTTTGGTTCAAACTGTAAAAAGTAATTTACTTTTTTTTGGAAGTGTTCACAAATTTATACATTCAGGTTCAAACACCTTGGCAATGTACTGTAACAGTTTTAACTTGGTAAATGTAAACTTGCACAAGACATTTCTACCTATTTGCCTGCCTCCCCTACCCCCTACCCCCTCCCAAAACATTGCTTATCAGCAATAATTGTAATGCATAATTACAATTAATAACTACATACTAGAATTACTTCCAGATCTGTCAGGTTTAGAGCTCTCTGAAATGATCTAAGTGATGTAGTTTTGCTTGGTTTGTTTCAGTTCGTATCTCCATTAGCATTATCTGTGGGCTTCTAGCTGGAGCACTGGCCTGTTATGTTTACAAGATTGGCGTATTCTGTATGGGTTGTATTGTTGGATGGGTAAGCTTAGTATACACCGGTACATGTTTTATGCTTCGCAGAATGAACATACTTCAGTGTTGTTTTATAAAGTTTAAATGTTAAAGAAACCTATAAGTTTATTGCACCAGTAAACTTATAGGAAATAGACGTGGCGTTCTATTGGTTCACTGCTGTAGTAACCCACTTGGGATGTTGGGAGAGCACAAGAAAACTTTCGGAAAAGTAAGCCAGAGGCCTAATGGACCCTCTTTGGTTCTTAAATCAGTAAACCAATGTAGTGCGTGATCTTTTGCTTACATAAAACTAACCAGTAACTGTTTGTTTTGTTAGACTGAGTGGACTTGATACATGAATTTTTTTTCCCATATACATGTAGATCTATACACATTTACACTTTGTCGTTTCGGAGTTACATTTTGGAAAATGTCAGCTATTAATTTTACTCTGACATCACTGATCATCAAGTAGAATTTGCTCAGATCAGTGAAGATGGGAGATATCTCCTGTTGAATATTCTTGAGTTTTCACAAACCTCTTCGGCCAACCCACAAAACAAAGTTTGAATATTTACCTAAAAATCTGATTTATACTGTCCCACATTCTGATAGGTTCTTACAAATGATGATCTGTTGGAGAACAGATTTACATGTATGTGTATAGATGACATCATCATTAACAACATTTTGGATTGTTATTATTGATATAAAACAAATGGATTCCATGTTGCTCGGTAGGGTTATGTAATTGATCACAAAAGAGGTCAAAATATGATAAGAACATCAGAGACACACTTGGTTGTACTTTGTATGCCTTTTTTGTTGTTGTTCTTCCCACTTTTTGATGTTATCTGTGATCTGTGACTGAACAAAGCCACATAACACGGATTCTAGTTGTTGAGTAGAGCAATGTACTGTGTTTTTATTGAGACCCAAATCTCTTGGTCATAGTTTCTTTCATTGGCAATTTTTTACAGGCAGTATCTATAGTAGTGGTCACTTTCTGGTTTTCCAAAGACTTGACAAGGTATGTTACATGCAATATTGCAAACAATTTTACAACTGATAACAGCTCAACTTTGGCCCAGGAATTACAGCTGACTCCCATTTACCCTTTGCACCTTAACATCAGTATGCATATTCTCTGTCCTGTTCTCTATACAGTTGCTAAGGTGCTGACAAGGAGAATTTGTTTAACAATCAAGAGTTTCCTTAACCCTTTAACTCCCATAGATGACCAAGCTGAAATTTCTCCATAGAAAATAAAAAACATTATCAACCAGACAAGTGATGAGAGTAAAGAACAATGTCAATTAGGGAATTATTAATTAGTTGATCCAATAACAAGTTCTCCAAAATAACATCATAAGAATTGTATGGCATACAGTAAGGAGAGTTACTAATGAGATCTCAGCAGTTAAGGGGTTAATTGGTGATCATTCCCTTTCTTCACATGGCCTAAATGTGTGATTCAGTGGTGATATTGTAAGGAGAAATTAGATGTGAGATGCTCATAGGGGTGAAAGTGTTCAAGAAACTTAATTGTCTGTTGTGGGAGATCAAGATCAATTGTCAGCAGTATTTTGGGGCTTTCATCTCCTCTGTCTCTCATTTTGTTGCTATTATCATTAGCGACTATGTTTTCATATGTTTGTTTCAGTGACTTGGCTTTCTACAGTATTTATGGTGCTACTGGTCTGGTATTTGGAATCCTTGCTGTATGGCTCGAGAAAGTGTTTATCATTTTTGCCACATCTCTCATTGGATCTCTAATGTTTCTTCTTGGTAGGTAAAAGACCAAAAAATCTAATGAGCTCCAAGCTATTTCATTTTATCATGAAGTCATGAATTTATTAGACCATTACATGTAACTTGCTTGTGCCCTGTGACTACACCTACACACCCGTATTATTAGGGAAATACAATGAAATTTTTTTGAAGAAACTTTATTACTGCATGGGTTGGGGGTATTAGAAGGTAATTTGGTTTTATCAACTGAGTTGGTGATGTAAATTTGCCACTGTAAAGAGTTTCTAAAGTTGACTTTTCGCGCGTTATCCCTTCGCTCTGACAAAGAAGGTTCACAGAAATTTCGAGCATAAGCCCTATTTCAGAGGAAATGATTCACTCTTAGCAGGTGTGTGCATCTGGCTTCAAGGGTAATGAGC